ATAGATGACAGTCAAACACAATAAAAGCTGTGAAGCTCCAATATTTCCTTAAAATGAAATCCTCTTTTCTTTCCCTCCTGAAGGCTGTTCTGGAAGGATTTGCTGATTACATGGTTCACACGGCTTTGACAAAAGAGGAAATTGGTTTCTTTTTATTATTCCTTTCCAATGGGACGTAACAGGTCTCCAGTGGACAAATATGGTCTTGACCTGACCTTCGTGAATATTCAGATGGTGCGCATTCCTAATAAGGGGATAGGAAAGGGAGAGAGTGGCAAAAAGAGCCTCCTTTGTTTTGTTTATGCAGAGAGAATGAATTGGCTTCATCATCAAATACAGAATTTGCCAATGTGTGCATGTTAATCACAGGATGACACAGCTTGCACTCGACTACAGATATCTAGTTTGTTCATAAACAGGTACAATAGAAAGAGAGAAGCAACTGCATACTGATTAACACGACTGGAACGGGTATTACAATGTGCAGCCTAAGACAAAAAATAAGGGATGTGTACACCGGTATGCTGTATGCTCATGTGTTGGAATCATAAATCAGATGGTAGCAATCCAGACTAAATCAGAAGGACCACTTTTGATTTGCATGTTTAGACATAAAAATCTGTGCAAATAATTGGTCCTGTTTGCTCTCCCCGTTCCTGCTATTTACTCTCAACCAATGAGATTTTGTCAAACCTGCTGCCAACCAGCTCCGATTTTTCTCTGACAGATCTACGCTGCAGTTCTGTGACTCACATCCACCACCTCCTGTGCTCATAATGAGCCAAAGTGGAATTGAGCTCCAGGAGCTGCTCAGCATGCCTCTCAGGAGGTTTTGCTCTGGGTCCATCCGACCCTCGTGAAAAGAACACCACCACTACGAGGATCGTCTTAGGTCACCGAAGGGTCATTTCAGTTATCCCACACCACACTCACACATGAGTTTTAATTTAATAGGAAATTCTACACACACGATTGTGTTTTTAGTATTTTTCTGCGTGTTTTAAAATGAATATTCCTTCAGTGCATGTGACTGCAAACTTAAAGCTTTCTTAATAATCCGTATTCAACTTTGGCACAAGCTTCATACTTTCAAAATGGTTCCATTTGACTTCCAAAAAAAAAACATAGTAACCTAAAACTGACATTTGCATATTTGACTTATCAGCGACAAAATACTTGCTGCTGCACAGGAAGACATGCTGAGTTTCTGAATTTGTTCTGACACTTGTTTTTTCTTCCTTTTCCACTCTTCCTGCTGTTTTTATCCACTGTTGTCTCATTAAAGGCTCACTTTTTCAGTTCAACAGACTATCAAAACTTTAGTTCTTGGTTCCGTAGTGTGTTTATGGTGCATCACACCCTACTCCAGCTTTTGGGAAATTTTCAGTTTTTTGGTAAGTGATGAAAATGACAAGGAGGCTCCTTCCTACAACAAATTCAATGGAAGGCCAATTAATGGTATACTATTGTTATTATCAATGATGAAGTTCCAGATTAGAGAACTTCCAAGTGAAAAAGTCAGTCATCAATTAGGTGAATAGTAATGACCATGTTTGGGAGAACCTGGCAGAACCTCTGATCCCATTATCTCACTTTCACAATCTCCAAGAAACTGTTTTTATGTAACGTAGAAATAATGTGCGTGTCATGTATCAGTAAATAAAAATGAATCACTTAGTTGTGAGTCAGGACCTGTAGAAACTAGATTTGAACATATGCTGTGTCAGAATGTGAAGATTACTATTATTCATGGTGTAAATTGACGTGTTTAATCAACATTGTCAGCATGATTTCAGATGAATTAATTTCAACAGAATGTTATTTTCAGGTTGTAGCTTGAAAGTGTAAACATCAATCAGTCAGTCAAAACTGTCTCTCTTCAAAGTTCAGCTGCAAATTTGAAGTATTTGCTGTTCTATCAACTTTATTTACTGAATCTAAACATCTCAGTTCAAATGTTTTAAAAGGATCCAGACTATCACTGCAGACTGCTAAAAATGGAATAACAATGCATTAATTAAGTATAATCTATCCCCGACTATCATCAAGCCCTAAATCTTATGTTTGAAAATTCTTCTAGTTAACAGAGCCTTCGCCCATGTCTGCTGCTGTATGTTTAATGCTTATTTATTTGAGAGCATAGTCAAATGGTCAGGGGCAGAGTGCGGACTCAGACTCCTGCTGTGACCTGTAGGTCACGTGCTCAACCAGGTGAGCTACAGCAGCGTCTCACAGATGCTTATGCTTTTAAAAGAAATGCATTAATGTCATTCCCTAAAAGAAACAGTGATTCCTTTTGTTTTCCCATTTAAGAGCATCAATTCCACATACAGAACTTGACACAAAATGGTCAAAAAATAAATTGCCTGGGGCACTGAGTGGGAATATCTCATCTAATAACCCATATGTTATATAGTTTAATAATAAACCTCTTCATTTGGTAACTTTATGAAGTGTGCATTAGTGTTCAAATGATTTCCCAGGATGTGCAAGTCTTATGAAGGTGCATCTTACTTTAATTAATCCATTTTGGTGGTAATTAGTTATGAACTGTACAGTGGTTTCACTTCTATTAGCAAGGGCTTTGATAATAACTCAACTGCATGTGATAATTAATAACAGGCAATTGAAGAAAAACCACTGCTTAAACCCTGACGATAATGTCTAACTGGTAGCTCAGGTGCAGTGGGCTTTGCAAATTTTGTTGATATTTTTTAAGTAGGACCAGTTCACCTCAATAATCATAACATACTTTGTGCTTAAAATATACATGTAGTATTCTAATTTTGCCACACAGATTCATTTGGAAGTGTCATGTTTGTAGTTTAATTACTGGAGTGTCTACTGTGAATTTATGCATGCTTGCAAGTGCTATATACCAGATATACGTTCAGTAATACTCCAGTGAGCATATGTATGCTGAAGGAACACTTGGTGCTAAGAAAAAACATAAGGGAATCTGAAGTAACACAGTAGGTGCCAGAAGCTCAGTTTTTCCTCCACTTCCACTGAGCTGAGATCATGAATTGTGAGCATTCTCTGATTACTGAAACGCATACTGTATATGCTTTAAAAGAAGCACAATCACTTATCATTATTCATTGCTGATTGACATATAATTTAGAATCAAATCTTCTTTAATAATACTTATCCAGACTGTGCTCAGTCTAAATTTCAATGTATAAAATCAATCAAAAACGGGAAAGTAGAGTAGTGTGAAGCTTTATTGCTGGTTTAATACGTCTTTTTAAATACACGTGTGAAATGTCTTTTTGCTCTTATTACTTTGGCATTTATCTCTGGGAGACAGACAGGGTGAATATTGACTGCGTGTGGAATAATAGCTTGCAAAGCACAAAATCTGGGCTATTCAAATATGTCTCCCCTGCAGTTGCAGACTCATGGGCTTCACTAAATCCTCCTCCCAATAATTTAATTTCCTTCCTTCTCTTCCTCCACTGCCCATGTGTCCGCACTACTTCGACCCTTCCTCGTCTGTGGAGTTTGAACCCTGGCATCCCCCTCCCCCTCAGGATGTTACACCGTATGCCACTCTATACCTTCTACCTTTAGTGCTGCAATGAAATTAATATTTCACCGGCGTTTCCTCAGCCATTTTTCTTGCTGACGAATTGGAGGTAGAAAGAAAGTTTCCAACTGGCCACAGCACAATAAATATGTAAGTATTTCCCTTGGAAGTCTTCCAATTGGGAGCTCCTTATGTACACTGTCAAGCACGAGCTTTGCTGCCATTTCTCCCTTTCCCCGTCTTACTTTCATTCCTCATCTATCCATCTATCCCTCCCATCTCATCTGCTGCACCATCTGTGCAGCTGTAATAAGCAGAGCTCCTCATGTGCTCTCTTTCACTCCCTTGATTTCCATTCCCTCCTGATTCTGGCTCACCCCCCTCTCCAGGCATGGCTCCCCTGCTTGGCTGTTTGACTGACTTGTTTGCATCCCGCGATGGCGCTACCATGCAGTCAAACCCACTGTGTACAAAAAAAAGACTCAGCTTGTGTTGTCACACAGTACCTTCTGCAGTCACGCAGCCCCAGTTAGCGCAACACTGCTTTCATCTCCGGGTGAAAGTATTCTGAAAGCAGAAATGTGATGACCTTACACCCTTACCACGTACAAAATGCACGATCACTCTCAACTCCATCAAAACAAAAGCGTCTCCCTCTCAGAGTGAAGAGCATGCAGTCCAAATCGAACAATTCAAGTCCTCAACGACAGCAGACTATTGATCTGAGCCAGTAATCACACTGACACCTCACTCAGCTGGGTGATGGAAAAATGAGCATGATGGGAAAAGATTCTATATGCTTATGGAGTGTGGGATTAGATATTTTTTTCCTACTATAAGTTCCGGATAAAAATGGTCAGTTAGGAGGTAAGGACTCTGTGCCACTCTACAAATACTGAGAAGCTTTTGTGGGGTCCATATTGATTGTATGGCTACCAGAATCAAAGGGCATAGCTGAGTAAACAAGGCATCCACTACAGCAAAGAGCTCTACTACCTCACAGTGGCACATTGGGACAAAGGTCCTAAGTGTTTTGGATAGGAGAGAAGGAGGGAGGGAGGGAGTATCCAACAGAAAAGAAATGCATTTATCCTTCTGAGATGTCTAGAAAGTTACTGGAAAAAGGAAGCAGTTAAAGCACAAACACAAGCTGTGCTTTAAGAGTTCACCAAGTCCTTCCACGAATTTATCAAAAATCTGTTTGTGTACAGTTCTATTTTATAACCAAATTTTCCAAATTCATAAGATTTTTTTTTACTGACTTTTCTTTAAATTCAAGCAGGATTTTCTTACCCATTTTAAATATGCGAAACTCAGTTACATGCTTCTGTACGCCCATCTCTTTAGCTACATCTGGATCAACATGCAGTGACAGATGTGGAGCTGTTTGCTTGTGTTGCCAGCTTTGCTGATTAAATCCATTCTAACCACACCCACACAACACTGGAGACATCGCTGAATATTTTTTTTGTACCAGTAAGTTATTTGTGCATATTTAGTTTAGATATTAATTCGACACTTTAAAATAAAGTTTTTAAACAGCCTATAAAATGTTGGCCAGTTGGCTGTAGTTCTAGATGTGGCCGTAAACGTAACCGGTTGTAAGTAAACCAGAATATATCTGCAGCTGCACTAACAACAAATGTGTGTGAGAGCCAACAAGAAGCCTTTTATTAAAAAAATTTATGGAATTCACAAGGAAGGTCAAATTATTTTGAGCTCTCACTTGTTGAAAAATTTCTCACTAGATTGAACGCTGCAGATGAGCCAAGACGTTAAAGTCTCCCACTAGAAGCTCTTCGACTGTTAGACTGAATTTTAAAATCTCATGCAGGAGAAATTCTATAGAAACGATTCTTCAAGAGTTATTGATTATAAAAAGTCAGATAGCCGGACAGTACAGAATCAATATTACTAAGCTGTCCCTTCTCTATCTGTATAATGCCTCCAATGTAGCCAATCTTTCCAGTTTAGAGGTCAAGGAGTTGCTTTCCTCTATAAACAGTTTAGCTACCAAGATGGAGACAACATTTCTTGTGGAGGCCGCAGTCATAATTAAGGTAATATTACACAGAAAGACAGGCGTGATCCCTCAAATTAGTGATTGATTAGAGCATGTTGAATAGGAGTCAGTGGTGGCCAAGGAACCACGTCTGGCTCTTTGATTCACCATCAGAGGACAGACAGCCTCCCTCCCAGCACATCTCCACTGTGGGTCTTCACAGATTGCAGGGATGTAAGTAGGTAGGGTGGGGATTATCCTGGCAGAGCAAAGCAGGGTTCTGCAGCACAGAGTGGCACCATGAGGACTCAGTGGATAACGTGCAGTCTGTGATGTGTGCTGTAGAGGCTAGTGAAAGCTGAGCCAGGAGGCAGCACTGAAGCATGGGCTTCCATTCAAAGCCACGCAGACACATCTACCTCTATTGTCTGCCATGCCTACCTATTTTATCCCCCCACCTTTGCTGCCATTTGATAAGATTTCACACATTTTTGCATATCACCCTGCATCTTATTCTCATTATGGAAATCGGGGGCTGCTTCTGTGCCACTAGTACTATTAACATATCCAAGGCCAGAGGTGCACAGAGTAGAGAAGATTAATGGGATTACATGTGGAATTTAAAATAAAATAAAAAAAATAATCCCCAAATCCATCACATGGCTTTAAGTGCACCTTTTCTGCATCAGGTAAAAACATCACAAAAATGTATCAGATTGATAAAAAAAATAATAGAAAAATGTGAACTTTAAGCAAAGTTAGTATGCTGCTTTTGTACACAGGGGTTGTTACTGGATGACTGCTGACAAGAAGACACTCTGACCTTTGCTTCCAAAACAACATGTAATCCAGTTGTCACCAGTACTTTACAATTCATGCACCACCCAACGAGTGGGCTTCTTAAAATAATGTCCTCAGGTACTTGTAATTAAATGCACATGCTTGTGTGCACACAAACGCACCGCCTTGTCACCTCATTGCCGCTTTACTGCCGGACGACTTTTTTCCACACTTTAGAGCTCGATCTCATTAACTGAGCACAACCCATTTCTGCTAAAACAGCATGATAATGTGGGAGTTATCAAATAGAGCAGGTTCTACTTGAGTTACTGCTGTCAGCAAGGGCTGAAAACACAATGACTGCTGCCTGCTGCTTAAACATCTCTAAACACAGCACACAAGGCTGCCACTGTATGAGTTATATGTATATAAAAAATAAAATAAAAAAAAAGAAGCTGCCAGCTATATGCCTTGTAGATTGAGACCCACAATAGGACATTACTACAGTGTGATCTTTGGGGTTGCACGGACTACTGCACCTATTGGCCTTTTGCCTATTTAAATTGCAGTCAATCTGTTGTGTTCACTCATGCTAAAGAGAGGGATGCAGTGAAATCCCTGCTTAGGGCTCACATCTTCACACCAAAGGAGGATGCAATTTCTTCTTAAAAAGGCAAATTTCTCATTACTTTTTTGACAACCATTTGAATATCTATATAGACTTAATTTCATGCTTGACCAGGATGTCACCATAGATGTAGGCATAAATGGCAAAAACAGAAAGAGTTCCTTTGTACAATCAGACCTAGGAAAAAAGGGTTGATTTGTCTTTGTTTCTTCTTCAATTATTGACAGTTTTTGTTTGAAGTTATATTCAGCAGAGTACAATGCCTCTGCAGGGTTTAAGATTTTTTTATTGTCTAAACGAGGCCAAATTTAAAGCCTCATAACCCATGATGACTAAATGATTTTAATGTAAAATATTTAACAGTACTGTGGTTCTTCTAGCAAAATACAGCAAAACAGTTCAGAAAACAAAGGAAAAGTGCATTCTTTTAGATTGTCATATAAAGAAACAATTAACAGACCATTGGGTTTTTTCCCCACTGCAAGAGACATTTAATTAGTTCTCTAAATAGTAGCTCGCATTGTTAGCGATGCATTCTCGTGTTCCCATGGTGGATTTAAATAGCCTTTTAAATGCACCAGGGATACACTGAATACAATGCATGTATGTAATTCCACTGCTTTCTGTTTTTTTGTCTTGCTTTGTTGGCATATTCACTTTTACTGTGCATATTCAAAAAGGAGCAAAGGTCATTCTAACATTCAGTTATTTTTCTAATGCACAGCTGGTAGATGTGTAGGAAAATGTATTCCCCCACACTTTAATAACACATCTATTAAAACAAAAAAAACCCCAACATTTAGCCCCCCAATCATGCATTTATAATTCCATATATTAAAACTGTCATCTAACATTTATCGGGTGCCTTGTAAAAAAAAAAATGTAAAAAAAAAAAATGAATTAAAGCATTGTGATGGTTTAAAAATATTTAGTGCAAGCAGACCACATTTTATTTCTCACATGGACTCATTTCCATTCCAACTTCAGTTTACATGCAAATAAAGGGGCTCTGTGGGAGTTGAGCTACAGTACAGCAATAAACTCTATAACTGAATTAGGTGAAAAAGCCGTTTGTAATGTCAGTTCAATATCTAAGACAAGTTAATGTTGTAATCTAAGCAGCAGCGAGCAACAGCCTGCATCGCTGGAGAGAGGCCAGAAATGCCAAAATGTTCTGCGGCTTCTGATAACACCATGCATCACTTAGCTCTGAGGTTACATACTAAAATATTCAGCAACGTAATCCTTAGTTACAATAAATCATAGCTGGTTCCTTGCAAGTTATCGGGATTGTAAAATGTCTAGAAGGCGTGCAATATGCGCTTAAGTCTCATTGTCAATTTGCGTTTAAAGTCTGTCAGTAGCAGGAGTGAAACCAGGAATAATAAAAATCCAACGGGTCCTTCTGACACCTCCGACTCACTCAAGCATGATCCTAGCTAAGATGACCAGGGGCAGCAGGAGGCCAGATCAGACGCGTCTCCCTCCTGAGGTGAGAGTCGCCCCATATTGGTCTAGGAGCTGCAGCGCCACGCCATTGGTCCAACCAAACCCCAGCTGCAGAACAGGGCAACACAGCACAGCATGAGGGGTATTTATATATTCACTAAACCAGCAAACTACAACAGAATAAATACAGGAAATGCAGCCATTGCTTTTCTTAGTATTCCCATCTCATAAACTAAAGTAAAACTGGATGACAACGATTTTCTATCAAAACAATGTTACAAAGAAGAGGAGGAGTGAGAGTGTGTGCATGAGCATGTAAATGTGTTCAAGTTAAACAGGAGAGAAGAGGAATTTTCTGGGCTTTGCATGGAATTAGAAAGACTTGCGTGACTATAAGCACATTAGTTTTACACTGTCAACACATGAAAGGGAAATACCTGAACTTCATATTCTCCTCCACCACCAGGTTTTCCATCTCCGTTCACATCGTACTGTCAGGAGGAAGAAAATTGCACATTCTGAGCCAGCTGTGTTATCACACTGCAACATGAGCTCCAAAGTGCTGAAGCCTTCAAAAACTCACCTTTTCAAACATGGCTTCATACTTAATGTATGCCAGCCAGTTTGTCTTGATCCAGCGCTGGGCCAAATCGAATGCGAGTTTTTTAGCATCCTCTGAAGGTAGCTTGGAAAAACCTGGGTTTTTAAAACATTTAAAAACTATTTAAGCTGCTCAAAGCAGAAATCTGTTAAATGTTTGTAATGTTTCATCTTTATGTTGCCAGCTAATGTCGAATTAAACGATAGCTACATTTACATGCAGACTAATATTCTGGAGGTAAACAGCATATTCAGATTCGATACTATGAATCAGGCCTCACTTCTAAATTAGCCTTTTTCTGATTAAGCCACATGGGATGTGTTGACTTTAGTACCATCTTTTGGACATTGTTTGCATCTCAGGTGGGATTTTTACTAGAATTAGCAGGGAAAAGTAAAATACAGTGTCATTTTTATACCATTATCCCCCTTGATGATTGGTTATACATGGCTTTGTTTTTGTTTAATTAATGCACTGAGGTAATTCAACAGTAATGCCAACAATTAAAGGGAGTAGACAAATCAAGGAAAGGTTTATAACCCAGTAGTGCAGCTGTCTTTACCGGTCCCATCAGACACCTGATTTCAATGCTGCCGAGAAAGCATTTCAGGTGATGAAGACTTATATATACACATATAAATACATATATGAATGACAGAGAGAGACCCAAAGGAAGGACATTTTGCACACCGTGTCTGATGTGCATAAAAACACTCAATTATAACCAAACATTTATTGCACTGAATTTAGTCAACAGGCTACAAGCAGCCATTATTATTTCTATTACCAACACAGTTTGTTCTCAAGGAGGCTCGATCACTAAAGCCACTGCACAATAAGTCATTAAAAAAAACAAACACCTGAATTTTTTCTTCTTGTCTAAGAAATACTAGTACATTATGAAACTGGTCTTAAGAAAAATAGGTGTAATTTTAACAACAGATCTCAGTTTTTCCATATTCAGTCTTCACAAAGAGACGCCGCTATCATAAATCAGACACGGGTCAGGACGGCTCGGCTTCTCAGTTCAGCCATCTCGCTTCAGTGTGGTATGGAAGGTTATTGGTTATGACTTTGAGCAAGAAGACGGTAAAACTAAGGATGACTCAGACCTCTAGCTTGGATGATTTTAACAGCACAGACACCTCTAATGACATGAATCATTTTTAACCACTTTTAGCAAAATGTGTCTTCCTCCCCATCCCCTCCAAAAAACAGGAAAAAAAAAAACCCAAGCCACCCTATACTGCAGTTTGCACACTTTCCAAGGTCATCCTCCAGGTCTAATTGGACCATTTGGATGGCACACCTTTGCCATGTGTTCAACTGTTTACTGAAAATTGCCTAAATCAGCTGAGGACACTTATAATCCAAAGCTACAGATGAGCCGCTGAGCAGACCTGATGAGAATGTTTTATCGGTTACAGATAATCAATAGTCCTAGAAACTGTATTGTAGAAATCCACTGTGCAGAGCTGAGCCTATGTTTAGAATTTGCTGTTCATTTTAAGAAAGAATTACCCACTGACAATAGAACAGGATGTTCTGTTAAGTGCTGAATCATCACTGTGGGTTGGCAGATGAAGTTCATGGTACCTACCATCGATAAGCATGTGCTGCAGAGGTGGCCACGCATTAGGATAGTCCCACTGCTGCCCAGACTCTTTCAGTGATGTTGGAACTCCATTGGGAAACTGGAGAGCTCCACTCCCCTGCACAGACATTACAAAGCAAGAGTGTGCATAGATGAAAGCTCTGTAGTGCGTTTGTGCCATCTGCTGGTGTGGCTGAGCATGATTTATAAAAGCACGTTGCATCCTGCTGGAAGTTGGCTTCTGAAAAAGAGTTCATGGCTAAAAATCTAAATGTCTCTGCTCCCTCAGCGACTGTCAAGAAGCTCATGAGCCGAGTATTTAAATGCTCAGTTTGCCATCAGAGGAGGGGACTAGTCATGTTGGACATCTGCTTGACATTTTTACAAATGTAATGGGATAAATATATTTTAAAGGGGTCTTTCACACAAATGGCATGATGGGGTCATATAAAACCATCTCTTTCTGGTTTTATATGTCAGTTCTTTGATAACAGCAACAACAAAATTATTCAAGGGCTAATAGTTTCAGTTTCTTGTGGAAACTAATTTGAGGTAAATGTGTATCTTTTCTAGTTTTGATGAACAAAACAGGCAAAATGATCTATTCTTCCAGGAAAATATCAACCAACCTTCAGATACTGTACCGCCTTCTCTCCCATCTCAGGCTGAGAATAGCACTGTGCCCAAATTGGTCCCAGGTTGGAGGGATAAAACTCAAAGTTTTTGGAGCGTGTCATCAGGTTGTAGTCAAACCAGGCTCCCCTCTCAGCATCCCAAAGCACAGATTCTATCGCCTCCAGCCTCCTCGCTGCAGCCTGGTCGTATACTGCAGCTGAGTCACTATCACCTGTCAGGAAGTAACACATCACCGTTATGTAACACCAGTTAGGAATTAAAAGCCACGCACAAGTTAGTTTCAAGGTTAAAAAGGCTCACCGAGCAGCCGATGAAACGACGCAAGAGTTTTCTCATTGCGGCACAGCAAAGCGTTGAGGTCAGCGGGCAGGATCTGACTGGTGCGCGTGTCTCTCAGGGTGCCACTGTTGTCGCCGCCATCAGCTATATACCAGCGGGAAGTAAAGTCCCAACCAGACTCTGCACCCGTTTTCAGATCCATCCACAGCTGCTCTTTCTTGCCTGAGGGAAAGAAAAAGAAAACACTAGTAGAGCCACAACAAATCAGCATCTAAACTGTGGTACTTACTCGTTAAATATGCAGCCTCATGTTGAGCCATGTTTGTTTTCTAGCACTTTTGTCAGAAGCTTTGGTGATTAAAAAAAAAAAAAACTTGTCAAAGGAGGAGAAAGTAACTTAGTCTTAAATATACAGCTCCAGTATTTTCCCTTCAAACAGGTTCTCTTTTAAGTGTGGTAAAGTTGTTCAGTGAATGAATGGGTTTTAACATTAAATATTCATTACTCGGGTACTTTCAGAGCAAATTTGTTTTGCACAGATGATCCTCGAGTCTCTGGGAATATAATATTATCCCTTTTCCCACTTTCTCAACTGGAATAAAATGACCATCAGAGTGCAATACATCCCATGAACACTAATAGGCCATTACCATCAGTGAGTCCCTCAGCTAATTCCAGATCGTCCAGATAAGATTCAGGCCTAGAAAGACAGACATGGTTGTTGTAGGTGAGGACATGGAGTATAGTCCCACAACCTAAATATCCATTTGTTATTTATACCAAGTAAATTTCCTTTAAACATACCTGGGCAAGCCCGCCTCTACATAATACCGGTTCAGTACATGCTGCTTCCCATTTAATTCTAGATCCACAGAACGGTTCTCCATCCAGAATTGGTACTCCACCTCCAGAACTGGTAAAGCCGCTCTAAACCGATTGTAAAGACAGCAGGAGGTGCTTTTTAATTCACAGTACTTTCACATTGCTTAATATCCTTAAACACAAAACTTAAAGTGTCACATTCTAATTAAGTATGGTAGGAACAACAAAACACCGGAGGCACAGAGAGGCACGAGCACGGAGGTGCTGATGTTTAATATGCTGAAAGAGGCAGAAGGCAGCTAAAGAATGATAATGTGTCTGGCAGGACGTCAGCTGGGGCTAAATATCACCTGAGGAACTCTTTATCCTTGGTTGCTTGATAGTAGCTCTCCACCATTAGAGTGAGGAATGGAGGCTGACTGCGCCTTTCATAGTAAATCCGCCCACCATTTGGAACAAAGCCATATCTGTAGGAGGGAAAAAAAAAATCTTTTATTCCACAAATCTTGAATATCCCCTGAGAGCTCCATTTCCAAAGTGCACAACTTGGGTTACTAAATGACTTATTATTGAAAATTTGCACGGTACACTACCTGCAGCGAGGTGGACATGTTTTTAAGTGCTCTGAATGATGAAAGACGTTTTAAAGGCTTACCTGTTGACAAGGTAGAGGAAGTTTTGGATCATTCCATGGGCTGTATCTGTCATCTCTGACAGCAGGAGCCCGTTGATGACCCAGTAGGAGTCCCTGTTGGACACAGAGACTTGCATCACTTTCTGGGTATGGCACGTAGGTGGGCTATCAGCATAGACCCCTGCCTGGGACTTCCTGTGATCTCTTTTCTCTCTGACCTTGTGATACTCTACCACAGCTGTCAGACAGCTTGGTGAAAGGCTTCATTGTTCACTCACCAATAGTAGAGCTCCCTGAAGCGCCCCCCTGGCACAACAACGGGATGTGGGGTGTAAATCTGAGAGTAGAGCTCTGGGTGATCTTTAACATCAGAATGGATCTGGATGGGAAATCATATTTAATTTAAAATGTTTGGACTGAAGCGTAGGTTAGTGGTGGACCCAACAGCAAAACAAAACTAGAGGAAATAGTGCATCAATATTTCCTAAAACTCAAGAAGAAACTGGAAAAAGAAAAAAAAAACCAAAAACACGGATAAAACAAAAGCATAAAATTTGTGAGGAAGGTTGGTTGGATATTAAAGTTGTTAGTTTGCTACTCATCACCTTTCTGCCAAGAGATTTCCACAGACCATGGATCTTTTCTGCCCACTCGCGTAGTTTATCATCTGCTATCCCACTCAGGAAGTTTGGCCTGCAAATCAGTCATGTGGGTACAGTTAAAAACACAGTATAATCTCAGCAGCAAACAAACACTGGATCTCACTTCTCATGCCAGTCCGGCGGAGCCCATGACTCAAACTCTGTCCCTGGTTGATCAAAGCTTGTATTGAGAAACTCCTCCAGTTTCACAGGCGGGATGGTTGTATTTGGAAACTTGCTTGAAAGATTGCGAAAGGCCGACAAAACATCATCTGCAGGGAGAGAGAAGCAACGCAGGAAAGCACATGATTCAGAGCCTTGAATTTTTTTTTTATTTATTTTAAAACCAGACCGACTTACCAGGAGCCGACCTCAGCTTCATGTCAACAAAATGCTTATCATCGTCAAACAGTTTTGCTTCTTGGACCTGGTGCAAGATGGGCCCGGTGCAGTATATTTCACTGAAATAAAAGGGGTATAAATTATTAACTGTATCATGAAGGTCATGTCTGTATTAGAGCAATACACTCAGTTGCTATCAAAGTCCTGCGGGGAAGCAGTAAATCAATAAAATATAAATATATCATGGAGAGGGGAAGGTAAGCCTACAGCTTAGTGTGGTTGCACCCCCCCCCTTCAAATAAAAAAAAAACAAAAAAAACAAAAAACAACACTTTAAACCTGTCAAACAGCCATCTGTAGCAAGTTAAAAAGTTGGCAACCTATCAAATAAGCGACGTTCTGGCGGAAGGATAATGCACAACCGACTGGGCATAGCGTAAAGATGCACCGTATGCAACATTGCAGGTAATAGTCAATATATGTAACGCTTAAGGTAGAGTAACGGGCCAAACCAATTTTTTTTCTAATTACAGGGGACACGTCGGCTAAAACGGGACAGTTTGCAACCCTAGTCTGTAGTCGTGTCACTGCCCAGATGAAACGCAGCAAGCCATTAAGCAGCGACCTTTCAGTAGTTTAGATTTCAATCACTGCAGTAATTTGGCATCATTTTAAATCAAATTTGTAGATTTAGGATTGACCCAAGGTTCCTCTAGTTCTTTTCCTAGACCAGGAAATGACAAATCTCTTGTAGTATCATGGAGACTTTCATGTCCCCTTACACACAAGACCCAACCCCCCCCCCAAAAAAATAAATAAATAAATAAACACCACCACAGAAGTTGTATTTAAAAGTATATATTAATATAATCCATACCTGTCACATGGTGGAGGAACATCTCCCTTTACGCTAGCAAAGAGAGCCAAAGACAAGAAGCAGAACGCTTTCAAGTTGCTCATGTTCAGCTGTAAAGTCAAGTGACGCCAAAGTACAAGCAAGAGTGCTATAAGAGAACTGTCATAAGAGAAATGCCTCCAGGTCAAAGTTTATATAAAGACACAAGATCTGAAGAGGACAGCTGCCTGCTACATTAGTGGCGCCAAGCTTTGAAAGACTCATTAGTCAGGCGAGCAGCAGAGTCCAAGTTCAATTTGCAATATATTTGGAGGAAAAAACAAGGAATATATATTGAAAAAAAAAAAAAAACCCCAAAAAACAAAACAAAACACTTCAGACAATAAATTTCAGTGAGCTTTATTGAACACAACTTTTAATCCAATCCAGTAATATTTATGACATCTTGCATCACTGAAAAATCTGCCAATTAAGCAACCAAATTCAAAATAAAGAAAATTTCACTTAAATTTGGAGCCTTTTTCATGAAACGTGTACTCCATTGAACATTTCATTTTGAAAAGAAAAAAGCGGGGTAACTCTTTCAAACCTTTTCGTACCCATTACCTAAACTTTGGATCTTTAGATATCCTGTTTCTGAAGTACCCACAGGCCCCACCCCACATATTTTACTGATGCATAAATTCAGAAAGAAATCCTAAAAAGGACTCCTATCGTCTCTTGACAGTTGAGAGATGGGACGGCCAAATTGTACACAAAAGTTGTGTTATTAATGTGTCACAACAATCAAGAGGACGAACTTATGCATCAGGGCAGCAGGCGCACCAATTCAACCTCCTCCCAAATTTAAAAAAGAAAAAAAAAAAAGACCTTAACAAAAGAGACAATTTTATTAACCAATTAGATGCCCAATCTGGGGAAAGATGCTCTTGTCTCAGTCGTTAAGGTTCTCCATGACAGCCACTAGCAGTAAAACTAGCTCCCACATGAAGGCAGCCATACGCTGAACCTCGAAGGGTCGTCAATTTTAGCCTCAAAGCATTTCAATTACTGCCAGTGGGCTGATAAGAAACAGACAGCTGCCAAGTGCCTGCACAAACAGATCCCTGTCGACTCCACTAATGCTCAAATTTAATTTTGACTTTAAACGAGAAAAATTCCCCCCACCCCCCCAAAAAACAAACAGCCTAATTATCAGTTTAGATGTGCAAGTATTTCTGGGACAACAGCAGAAGTGTGAGAACAGGGATCAGAGTCTAACCAATGAGAAATACACGGGTAACTAATCATCTCTGCTACACTTGTCTTTTGAAATGAGCTTAAATTAAATGAGTAATACTTCCCATTGGTTAAAACAGTTAAGAGAGCATCTCGCCATATTAAAGGGAACACCTCAGTTACAAAAAGGTTTCAGCTGAACAAAGTGATCAGAGGACCTCAATGCAAATGTAAGGTTGTCACGTTGCATATAAAATGCAGAGGTAAAGCCCCAAAACCCAAAACATAAAGCAATAAAGGGCAGAGAAATTAGCCATAAACTCAGCAGGCTGGGATGCCCAAGTTATGTCTTAAACAAGCAGTCTGACATAAAGTAATTTTCTAACCCATCTTGTTCATTCCCCCTCCCTGCACTAGCATGCACTTTACTCCCAAGTGGGTATCTAGTGTGTAAAAAGTAGTGCAGTAAGTGTAGCTGCATGAACCATCTGTGTTTTAAGTGCTGATCAACTTGCTCATGTTCGTTTTTAAAGTATCTTTTGTTAGCTGGTTTCACAAAAGCCAGCCAACTTGCAAAGCACAGAATTTGTTCCTGCTACATTTTAGATGGATTTCAGATGGTTCGTTTTGATGCAGTCGGCCAACATTCTGCAGAAGGAGGGGGACTTCCTGCCCCTCCCTCAATATTAGGAAGTAATGTAGCTGTGCTTAAACAGGGCATAAATCAACGTAACAGCTAATACCGTCGCCACAAAACAAATTATCTGCCAATTCAGCTGCACTGCAGCGAGTAGTAAGTAATAGAATATTTTCTTTTCCAACACCAGCACTCAGTATAAGAAATCTTAAGAGTGTTTCAAGAGTTTCACAAGTCAAGGCTGGTGACAAAGACTTCATTACTCAAATGCACAAGCTTCAGAAAGCCATCTGTCAAGACTCGCACTTGTTAACACTGGAAGCAAAAGAACAAGGGCAACAATTTAAACAGTTAAGTGCATCTTTGAAGAAACATTCCAACAAATATGCATGGGCTAAAAAGATTTTCAGCAATAACTGTCTCTAAAAACATTTCATGAACTACGCCATTTAAATGTTTTAGATTCCGGTAAATTCTGCAATTTCTAAAATTATAAATAAATTCACAGGCCAATATTGCAGATCAAACAAACTGGCAGTTCGGGAAACCATCTCCAGTGCTAACAAGAGGGAAGGGGCGGATGGCTTTTCAGTTTGTCAGGCAGCCTTTTTAACTTGTTTAAAACAATCTTAAAATGAAGGTATATACACAAAGTGTAAGGTGCACCCCAAACGCTGGCTGCACGTCTCACAGAATTAAGTATGGCCACCCACAGGAAGGTGAAACACAGGACGACAAAAGACAGACCGAAGAAGAAATGAGGGAGAAAAAAAATAAAAACACGCGTCAGGCATTCGCTCCAAATAAACTCCACCAAAATAGGAATCCTCATGACTCATGGTGTTGCAAGGCTGCTTAATTATTTTTAGTGTTCTGATGCTGAAGACAGAGGAAAGAGTTTGGGTCTCTCAGAAGCACAAGTTTTTTTTCCACCAATGACTGACAGTCTGGCTGCATCTTGGAGAAAGGGAAAAAACAAAAAACAAAAAAATCCAGCATCTCTGTCCATGGAAATCCAAGTTTGTCCTCATTTATCAGCCAGACTCAAGTTCAGCTTAGCCAGCAAGAAGATAATTCAGACCAGTCTGCCTCCAATCATCTCCAGTTGCTGTGAATGGATGACCCAACCAAAGACGGGTATGAATTCACCTATTTTGTCAGACATTAAATTAGTGTAACAAATTTTCAATTAGGTGAACAGAAATATGTAGCATGGAGTGGAGAGAGATGACCGATAATGAGGGGTTATTACTTTAGAACAAGCTGAACTGTTTAAGGCACTTGATATTAATTGGATAAAACTTCCGAACTTAAAAGTGGAGAATGGAGGGTGTCCTATCGCTCTCTGTTGGTGCTGGCTTTGTGTCAGTGGTGGATATGAATCATCACAATGTGCGCACTGATAACGTTTCTGACTTGGTCCCATTCTTTCCTCGTGGTGCCCATGTCTTCAGGGTGTGGTGGTGCAGCAAAGAGCCTTAAAAAGGCAGATGAGTTCTTCCAATAACACATCCATCAAAGCACGCATTCCTAATGGTGGCATCCAAAAAAGGAAGACATACAGCAACTGTACATTTAAAAAAAAAAAAAAAAAAAATCCAAAGATGTGGGGGATGAAGTAGAATACAGAGGGGAGTGGAGGATGGACTGGTCTCTAGAAAAAGGAGAGGGGAAAAAAAAAAAAAAAAAATCACATTAGACCAGACTGTTCAACAAAACCCCCACTAACAACACTCAGATAAAAACTATTCTACACATTACCGAAGTTCTTGATTTACATTGGAGTTACAGTGTAGTGGTCTTTTTTTCTTTTATCTTTGTTAACAAACCGGCTGATTTTTCATAGATCAGATGACCATTTGGGTTATAATGTTTCAGAGTGAAACTAGGGTACGATTTCTCTGCACATGCAGGAGGACATTCCTGACACCATGACTGAAATGCTTAAATAATTTTTATCATCAAAATCAAGACAGATTTGCTGGAAGCAACCTGTATAAATGTATCAACTCAGGGGTCATTAGCAGATATCCAACTTCTACAAGGATATATTAAGGATGGTAAAGACATTTCGTCTTCTGTTACCTGGAAACACTGTAAATAAATAAATAAATAAATAAATAAATGAATGAATGAATGAATGAATGAATAAATGCCACGAGCTGTGGGTAGTGACCGAAAGAACGAGATCGCGGATACAAGCAGCAGAAATGAGCTTCCTCCGAAGTGTGGCTGGCCTCTCCCTTAGAGATAGGGTGAGAAGTTCGGCCATCCGGGAGGGGCTCAGAGTAGAGCCGCTGCTGCTCCACATCGAAAGGAGCCAGCTGAGGTGGTTCGGGCATCTGACAAGGATGCCCCCTGGGCGCCTCCTGGGTGAGGTGTTCCAGGCATGTCCCACCGGGAGGAGGCCCCGGGGCAGACCCAGGACACGCTGGAGAGATTATATCTCTCGGCTGGCCTGGGAACGCCTTGGTATTCCCCCGGATAAGCTGGAGGAGGTGGCTGGGGAGAGGGAGGTCTGGGCCTCTTTGCTTAGGCTGCTGCCCCCGCGACCCGGCCTCGGATAAAGCGGATGAAGATGGATGGATGGATTGGGGGGGGGGGGGGAGAGCCTCCTTGTCCTTTTTCCTAGCTATTTTTCCTTGCTCTCAGAAACTTTGTAAGATCATAGCAAGGTTTGAAGCAGAGTTTATAAGGAATTAAGACAACAGCACATAAACTTGGGACTAAGACATGCATCTCATTCCTAACCAATATATTCCTATCTGAATGTTCAATGTAACTTATCCCAGCTGACCAAGGGGGAAAAAACCCTAAAATGTTGGCAATGAAACAACGGATACAGCTCATGATTTATAGAACTTATGTAAAGCTCGATAGGCTTTTATTACAGCAATATTAATGTTCATAGTTCACATGTGGCTTTAACCGCCTGTTGAAGCAGCAGCAAACAGAAAACACTTCTGAACACTCACATGATCTGCTCTGCTGTTTCAGTGATCGTTTCAATGTGTCCTCTGCTGAAGGAGGTGATAAAGGAAGCACTGAAGTATCTTTTTAGTATTTAGAGAATTCGACTGCGATTATGGCCAACACACTGATAATCTGCATAACAGCAGTGACGTAGCAAAATTGACCATTTGAATACACACCATTTTTCACACTGCAAATATACACACTATATTACATTGAAAAACCTTTGTAGATTTCTTTTGCCATCTTTAAAAATAAAAGTAACAGACTTGCCTCAAAGGATATATGTTCACTAAGAGCAGCAAGAAAAGCACAGTCCAGGTAATGACAGTAATCATGGCTAAATTGTATTTAGTTGTGTCAGCAAGGTGCCGAAGTATCCAGCATACCAAGCAGCAAAGCACTAGCTCTGCAACAGCTCATATCCATCAGCTCGTTTGTAAAACGTATTCGAACCGGCAGGATGAAAAAGATTAAATCACAGGAGATAAATTATCTTCTGACCATCTATAAACCAGCTGGTCGCATATCTGTGTACTCACTGGCTCATGGCTTGACTTCTTCGCCACTCTCACTGTGGTACTCTGCCACATATAGGCTCTTGTCAATGATGCCAGGGATGGGCTTTATTTCTGTTCCAAGCTGTTCCTCAATCCCTTTCAGGTTGAAGCGATCGTCATACGTGATGAGGTTGATAGCTAGACCCAGGTGTCCGAAGCGGCCTGGAAATTATGGTAGTCAAGAGCTTAAATAATTGCTTTAGCATTTTTTGCTGCATAAAATGCATTTATATTGCAGACAAGAGTGAAACAGTCAAAGCAAAAAGGATGAAAACAGTCCGAGTCACGGCCCTTACCAGATCTACCGATGCGATGAAGGTACGTTTCTCCCAGCTTAGGAAAATCAAAATTGATCACAACATTCACAGCTTGAATGTCGATTCCTCTTGTGAAGAGGTCTAGAGGGGGAAAGTAATAAAGATCAAACCACGCAGGATAGAACATTAAAGAAAATAGGCTTGCGCAAATCAGTCACTACAAAAAAACAAAAGCAAAAACAAACTAAAGATGTACACAATAGAACAGCTCAGTTTCACCATCAAAAACTACTACTACTAATAATAGCAGTAATAAAAATCCTCTCAGTTTCTTTCAACTCCTACTGGTAAAATGCGGCAGTTGTACACACGTTTCTTTCACTTACCAGTGCAGACTAGATTCCGGCACAGGCCATTTCTGAAGTCGTGGAATACACGGTTACGATGTTCCTGGAAAACGATTTTTGAAAAAAATGCATTTAGAAGCAGATTTATTCACTTCAGAGCATCATTTAATTACATAAGGATAAATTACATAGAGATAATGCATGCCTTTTTACTCTCATAACACTTGTCCACAACTGATGTAAACCATGTTAGGTGAGGTATAAGCACATATGCTGAGTCAGTAACTAAGCTGTCATCTCAGGTATTCATAACATGCAAAAACAAATGACAAGTAGTGGAAAATCTGTTTGTGCAGCAACCCAAGTGTTAACAGTTCTATTTTTTTATCATGTAGTCAGTCTGGGGACTGGCAGTGCCAACTCTCCATAAACAGGATGTTGGAGTGAACAGCAGTTCTTGCAAAAATCAATTGTGCATTTTGGTGAACAAGCTTTTCTGGGGCAGTACTTTAAGCTGACCTGTCTCATCTTTGCATGAATGTAGAAACATGAATATCCAAGCTGGGAGATCTTCTTGGCAAGGAGCTCCACTCTCTGAGACGAGTTGCAGAAGATTATGGATTGGTTGATCTGGAGCTAAAAATAAATGATGCAAATAAATATGTAAACAATTGCATGTTCATCAGACTCTTCCTATTTATACATTTTTTTATTATTTACACGTGCAGAGAGGCAAAACTCACCCTGGAAAACAAGGTGTTGAGGCAATGGACTTTTTGCCTTTCAGTTACATAAGCATAATACTGAGTCACACCCTTCAGTGTAAGCTCCTCCATTAGGTTGATTTCATAGGGTTTCTGCAAGTGTGAATTCTACAAAAATACATAGAAATGATTATATACAGGTTGAAATGCAAGTTGTAGCATTGTAAAGCTTATTTGAAATCACAAGTTCATGAATAAGGAACCAAAATGTACCATGAACTTCTGCACGCTGAGAGGGAAGGTTGCAGAATAAAGCAAAATCTGCCTCTGCTTGGGCAAAAAGCCCAGGATCTCCTCCATCATGACCACAAAGTCCTGAGACAGGAGCTTGTCAGCCTTTTGAACAGGAGATGGGGGGGGGGAGGGGAAAACATTTAGCTCCATCACCTGACTGACCCAAATTATCTAAATGCACTTATTTAGAAAAAAAAGGTCTAATAAAAGTAAACAGCTTCACTCACTTCATCTAGAACGATCATCTGCACTTGACCAACTTTGGCCACTCCTTTCTTGATGAGGTCTAAAATCCTTCCAGGTGTGGCAATGACCACATGTACTGAAAAATAAAAAGCAAAAAGGTAACAATAATTAAGGTCTACCACATTTTCTGAGAATGGCAGCGTTATCAAAATTTACGTGTCCACATTTCAGTGGAGAAATGATGGTAAATGATCACGATTATCATATTGCTGATATTCAGCCGCTGAGGAATGTTCAACAAAAGCTATATTGACAACTTTAACAAAAAAATCAATATGCATTTGACAGTAATCAGTTCAATACATGTGTTTTCATTAGTTAACATTTCAGACATCAGCATTGACTGCCTGCGAAATGTGTGTGTGTGTGTTTACGGGGGTCTATTTTTTGTATTGGCTACAGATAAGATCAGGCAAAAACTTGAAAATTAAGCCAGACTGTGCTTATCATCTTTTCTCCTTTGCAGATCTCAGTGCAGCTTATAATGCCTTCCTTTGATGCACTCATGTTTGTTTGTTTAAGTATAGATGAAGATTTTCATTCACTCCAATCAAATGAGCTTTGGTAGCAATCATATAGTATACAATAGCAACATTTAGGATTCAACTAGAGATGTACCAAAGATCCAGGAATATTTCAATTTTCTTCTTAAAAAAAAAAAAATCGTCACTGAGACAGACAGTAAAGCAGACGATTCAGATCGCCCCTGATTTCAGACTGTATGAGGAAATCCATGCAGGAGATTGCACAGACTTGCACAGACTTCAGTGTGAAATAATCATGTTGACTCCCACCAAGAGTATTTAGCATTAACTAAAGCTAAACTTACAAGAAGAGTAGCTGAGGGAGGAGGGGGAAAAAAAACCTTAGTTAAATGGAAAAAATAAGCTAAACTGTAAATTTGCAAATCAAAATTTTGTTAATACAGATTGAGTTTCAGTTTTAGTTGGTTTGATAAAATTTGCCAGTACAACTCAAAGATTTGTTGTTTACTGGGAGGGGGACGCATTACATTAATGCAAGTCAACTGTCTTCACTAACTGTTGTATTGTTAGATTAATTTCCAGTTTTCCTAAATCTTACTTCTGGAAAATACCTTCCATATAATAACACTGAAACCAATAAAAATAAATAAAAGATAAGATAGGCAGTGTTATAAAATATAAGACTGTAATAAGTGATGTTACGTGTGAAAGGTTACCTGTTTCATCGAGTCTCATGATGTCATCACGAAGATTGGTTCCACCTGTGGTTGCCATGACCTTCACACCACCCATGTGTTTGCTGACCTGGATACATATTTGGCTTACTTGCAGAGCCAGTTCTCTGGTGGGCACTATGCCCAAAGCTGGAAAAAGAGAAGACTTATTTATTAGCATTTTATTAAACATTTGCAAGTAATTAAGAATAGGATCAAATGCAATGGTACTACTACATTTTCAAGAATCAAAAACAAATTAAAACATGCTCCGATCAGTAACATGTCTCAGACCGTGTCCCACCACTTTCATTTTTATGAGGACACAATGAATCAACAAAAAAAGATGTTTACATGTCTTTATCAGACACAGTTGTATTCATAACATAGTCAAAAACAGTCTTCAGAAAAGAGAATAAAAATGTAGTTGCATGTTAAATGGAGCAAAACAAACTAGACCATCAATAACAGGAAACCTAGCCTCGAGCAAAATAATGCATTTGGATGAGGATCTGATTTTGTGCTCTTGAAGCAGAAAACTCTAGAAGAGAAGCTGACATTTAGGGATCGCATGTGTAGCACGATTGTGTAACACGTGATTTGCAATTTAAAATGTTTTTAGTTAAACGTGAGTATGTTGTAAACCGTTTCAGCAACACTGTTGTGCAGAATTTACAGTGTGTATATATAGTTGCCATTTTATTTTGGAAACACTGAACAGCAAATGTCAAAATATATCAACTGTTTATACAACTACAGTTTGTTTCTCCCGTTATTCTAAGTAATATTAAAATTGGCATTAGAAAAAAATATGTAAATGTTGATGACTTTTGCATTTCTAGTTAAATTTCAATACTAAAGCAGTTGCTTTTTGGTGTCACTGATTTGACCAAATCATCAGTAAAGGCTCATTATGTGTCGAGGTTTATCAAGGGCATACTGATTTCATTTTCATCCCTCCCCCTCTTTTTTTAAACAACCCACTTAATGACTTTCAAATGAGGCAAGCTAAAATTCAACATTTATAATAAAAAATAAATAAATCTTATTGAAAATGAGCTCTCTCACCTTGTATGCAGTCCTTCTTCAGGTCAATGCGTTCAAGTAAGGGAATGAGGTAGGCTCCACTCTTTCCCGTGCCATTCTTGGCTCTGGCCAAAATATCTCTTCCTGACAGTGCAATGGGGATGCTCTCCTCCTGCAGACAAAGAGAAATACAAAGAATACTTTTTGCTTCAGTCACATCACACATCTAATTAATTTATTCTAGTGCAAACATGTAATACAATTGTTCTGAGTGGAAGGTAAAACGTTAATTTTTCAAGTTCCATTTACTTTGTCTACTAACAGCCCATACACACATCCACCCACCCTGCAGTTTGCCTTTCTGAAATAGGCCACCACTCATTAGCATACTTTGTTTACATCGTTCCTTCCGATGGATAAGTGCTGAGAAACTGAAACTTATTCTGTGCAGCCGAGAGTGATTCTAAAGCTTATAAATGAAGTTTAATAAACCAAATTTGCCAAACAAGCTACTAAAGATGTTAAACTCATGAAAGTGCAGAAAGACAACTGAGGAGATGGGCGCCACATGTCACATAGCCAAGTGAAAGTCCCTGGGTTCAAGTCTCTCCCCACTTTCCTTTCCTTACCATTGTCATTGTTTCACTTTCCAATAAAGGCAAAAATGCCACAGAAAAAACAAAAAACAAACAAGGCAATCTTTTTTTTTTTTTAAAGATAACTGATGAAATCAAAGCTGAAATGCATAACCTGGGTACAACAAATGTACAAACATTGTGTGTCAGTCCACCCACTAAGTAATAAGAAATATTATGGTATGTCCAAGAGGGTTCACCAGAGTTTTTAGGACACATGCTAACAGGCACTACCTAAACAACCTAATAGGTACTACAATGCTCCTGAGCCATACTGCAGGAATAGCAATTTTCACAGGTTTGAAGAATTAACTGTTACATTTAACCTTTAATAGTCAACTAAAAACTGTTGACTACATTTAACACTGATCACGTGTCAATGTCAAAGAACTCGTCTGTCCTTTTATGCACTACAATCTATTCTGTAAGTGCCAAAGTATGCACTTCCTTATGCACAAACATGCCTTCTTGTTCAGCCGTCAAATCAAAGCAGTCTTAACATACCTGGATTGGAGATGGCTTTTCCCAGCCCATCTCAAAGATTCCCATAAGCAGCTCCCTCTTTAGGCAATAATCTTCAAACTCATTGCCTTTAGTTGCAGTCACATCCTGTAATTGTCACAGAATGATTGTATATGAAGAAGAGTACTGACAGCTTGTGTGGAACACATTAATATAACAGTGATTGTAGGCTTGTATAAAAATGACTTATTAAACACAGCACTGAATATTTTTTATTCACAGCCCAAAAAAACCAAATGAGTAATAGGATATATAAGCTTCCAGGTCAAAAGAAACGTGTTACCAACCGAAGTTTTCATCCTCATGTCCTTTGGGGGCAATTTCAAATTTTTCTTCCAGTCATCTCCAGGCCTGTGGAGGCCAGAATTATTATTAACAAGCAGTATCACATTTAACTGACAGCAGTAGTTGTAATGAGAAGTCAAAATAGTTTAATTTTAGTATTAAATAACTTACTTGATGACAGCATTTGTTGTAGGGGCTGGCTGGGAGTTTCCATTGTTGATTGTGCCTTTCATCTGGTTAAGCTGCTGCTGCGGCCCTCCTCCACCTCCACCTGGTGCTCCAGCAGGCTTCACTGAGCCTCTGAGCTGTCCATTCTGGTTGGGCAAGCCCAGAATCACTGGGTTCTCCGTTCTGGCGGTGCTCATGTTGACTTGGCTCAACTTTATTCCAACAGCAATGAAACCTTTAACAGTTTCCAGGTGAAGTGAGTCCACTCAAAACATAAAAATTGCCCTTGCCTTTTTAAATCTTAATCAACTAAAGGTAAATACTAAATCATTTACTCTTCAACAATGTCTTTTGTGATATCAAGTGTCCAGAAACAAATTCCTCTTCTCGTTTTTTATAAGACTTCTATGCATGGAAATTAAATTAGGGCTTAGCATAGATAAATTTTGTCAACATTATCTGGAATACTCCAAGAGAGCTTCGCAAGCGTTCAGGCATTGGCCGACAGTTCAGCTAGCCATCTTGATTAGCTAAACTGGGCCGCTGTGTCCTTCCTCGGGGCTGTCCAAACCTAAAACACACAAGACAGCGTTAGAAATGGCAAAATAGAAACATCGGTGGAATAACAGCTCCCCAGCATGCAGTCCTCGGGTTTGGTGAGACTTAAAGTCACCATTTTGCTAACGGACAGCAGAAACACTTGACGGCTGGCCTAATGACAAAAGTTAGCCGACACAGCGCTGACAGCGAATGTTATTTAGCTTCGCAAACAATGAATAAGCGGCCTTGATAAATTAAGAGCATTGGCAAATTAAGTGTACAGTTGGATAAGAATGTGCTGCGTGTGATTTCTACTGGATGCATACTTTAATGGTTCAACGGTGATTAGTGTACTCGTTTAATAAAAATAAAAAAAATCTACCCTCGAAGGAGGAGTAGGTAGGCTAGTTACAGACATGACTTTCTGGTACATTAATTTCAGTCATCTTTTCACGTTAATCAACACCAATTCATATACATTTATTCCAGTCAATATTACACGATTAACTCATCTGACCATTTTAAATGTCAGCCCAATAACAAGACTGACTGGCTATCCGCCATCAACCAGCATTAACTTTAGCTGCAATGAGATTGCCGTGCTAGGTCTGCTAGCAACCTAGCAAGGCTAGCGACGGTAAAATAATAAACACTAAAGCCTGGTGTTATCTACAAGAAATATCAGCTGAACCTAAAGCAATGATCTATTCGTGAATTGAAGCAGATTCATTATAAGGACGTTTACCTTGAGCTATTGAAATAGCCGGTGCCGTAAGCGGTATTTGTGAGCAATCTTTAGCTAACTACCAACGAGTCTCGTCAGAGTCAAGCAAACGTCCAAGATGGCTTCCACCCGTATTTGAACCCGCCCCCATCCAACGAATCAGCTGATTTCATTTCAAATCAAGGAGCTGTGAGGTCTCCTCCTAAAATAATCCTCTCTAACATTTAAATATTTTATCTATCTGCGATGGTACCAACGCGGCCGGTGCAGCCACATCGTCTCTGTTGATAGTGTTTACCATCCGTGCTCTCTGCGCCTCATGTTCATGCACATGAAAACACTGCAGCTGTGTTGTGAGTTGGGTTGTGAATGTTATTGCTCTTCAAAAATTGTATAAAACGAAGCTGCTTTCCTGGGTGTCATGTGGAGAGCAAGGTTTCAACTTCTATACACTCTCAGTGATTCCTGTGTGGTTGTTGATTCTCGCTTAATTAATGCGGCATCAGCAGCTGTGTTGTTGTTGTTGTTGTTGCTCCGTTTATTTTGTGAGTTCTTTTTGTTTGTTTGTTTTAAATTATTTTTAATGTGAATTTTAATGTGATTTGAACAGAATGTCTCATCATTTCTCAGAGTGCTCTAAAACCCATCTATTTGTAACTTTTAGGCTGCACTATTGTGATTCAGTGTCACCAGGCTGGCCTAAAATCTTTCTGAAAAGCCTTCAGTTGATCTAAAATGTTACAGAGAGAGTACAAACAAAGATTAAAAAGAGAGATCATAGTTTCACATATTAGCATCTCCTCTTTGGATCCCTTTTTTATATATAACTGAATGTAAAATGCTTCTTCTCACAAACATCATCTCAGATCTTCAGGCACCATTCTATCACAAACAACACAGATGGAGTTACTTTTAACTGCTCCCCTAGTCACAAGTTGCCACAGCCCCAGATATTTGATTTGACAGATTTTTATGCTAGATGCCATTCTTAACACAATCCCAGCATACCAATATCATATGATCTCAATACACTATCAGAGTACTCTGATCTCAGAGTGTAGACATTTTTTTGTTCATAGTGAAAAAGCAGAATGGGATGCAGAGCATTTAGTTATCAGGCCCCTCTCAAGATAAACACACATCCTTTCTACCTTAAAGTTTGGCCTTAAATCGCCCACCTGTTACAGACAGACAGTGTTGTGGTTGTTATGGTCAGGGAGAAAAGATCATACAGAAATCAAATAAATATTTTTTTAATGATAGATATTTGTCTGTACAGTAAGGCATAGGTGTGGATGTAGCGTTATCCATGTGTTTTGGTGCATCACTGCCACCTGTTGTACAGACACTGAAGGTATCCTGTAATAATGTGTTGGTTAGGGAGAACATTAAAGTTTACCAACCAGAGGTCTTTGTTCTACACTCTTTGTCTTTCTTTTCTTGTGTGCCACACATAAAACTAATGCCGCATTAGATGATGTAAACTTTTTTGATGCTCAGTTTATTTTGTGTGCGGAGAACACTGTGACTCATAACGAGTGTAAATTAATATTTGTGACATCATTTTGCTGTGGGACAATATTTTAGGTATATGCCAAAGGGTGGCAGTGTGGGGTTTTGGAGAAAATGCTTTTGACTAGCAAGCTGTAACAGTTACATCTTATATACTGCCTTCTAAGACTTCCAAGACAGACTCCAAAAGGCTGATTTTCATGTGTTGTGTTATTACTTTATATAAGTTTTTTTGTTTTGTTTTACATGGTGTTAGTCCTGTTAAGATGCGGCTCTTTAAAAGAGTTGGAAACTGTTAAAGGATAAAGCAGTGCAGACTTTATAAAGTTAACAGTGCTTTACTTAATTACCCAAATGGTTATTCTGATACCTGCACAGTCTTGCAGCATGTAATCATATTTGGTGCAAAGCAAACAAACTCAGTGTGTTGTTGTCGGCTAAATTCTTTACAATTATAGTTATTATTCTTCCTCAAACCGACAGGTGTAAGAGTGAGATGAGTGGTCTTACATTTTTTCACACATATTATTGTTCTTAAATTATTTGAATTTTACTGCAACAAAATCCAACTCTATTCAAGAGACTGTGATGGCTAGATGGGATTAATTAACCATCAGAATGGGAAATTCTTCTTCTTTCAAGCAAAGGCTACCTGAAAGCCAACAGACTGCTACTTTTTGATCTGCAGAGATCTGGATGTGAAGATGTAAATGTCCCAAACTTTTGTTGAGGACTTTGGGAGAAATACCGAAACAATATCTTTTTCATCTTCCTTATGTGATCACAAAAATACCACAGATTTATAGAACAACGTCTTGGGAATGCCACACGTATTAAAGCATTAAAGTGCCTCCTGACCTCAAACACAGCTTATAGGTATGTCTTTGTCCATGAAGGTTACAATCACACACTGTACTAACCGTGGATAGAAGATACATAATTTGAACACTTTTCAACAAATTTACAACTACAATTCCACTTTTTTCATTATATTTAATCACTTCTAGCATTATATCTGTATATAAAACATAATAATAATAAAAACAACTTCCAAAAATAGTAGTGTTTGCATTCCGGTAGGTTTCAGTCAAGACAGTGTGAAACAGAAAGTGAGACAGCCTTAGCTGATGAGTCCGACATCCTAGTGATTTAAAATTTTACAAGTATTTCAGTTTTGTTTTGTTTTTTACAATACTTTAATTTTTTTTTTACATTATTTTTTCACAATTGTGGTAGGAAAGTATCCAGCTCGTTCATGAAATGCTATTATTCAGTTGTTCACACAGTTTTAAGAGAGCCAGTGCTACCAACACTCCTCCTATGATTTTCATTTTTCAAAAACTCTAGCAAATGCTCAGTCATAGAACTTTCTCTTTAAATTGATCAGCTTTTCAAATGTAGTCATTTCTTTTGTAAAAGAACCAGCTGCAGTATTGTTAGGAATGAATGTACATGTGCAACGCCAAAAATCCCACACACGTTTCTAGCAAATAGCCTGCTCTTCAGGATCACCTTGAATGACTGAAAAACAAACATTTCTTATGTTTGGGACGTTGGTGAGTCATCTGGATGTTTACCGTGTGTAAGAGGGATGAGAAATGTCACACCAACAGCTTCTATATTAATTTAAAAAAAAAAAACATGCTGAACTTTTCAGCACATTTGACAACCTGGTTGTTCAAACAGGTGCTGCATGCATGCCATCGTTGATCCCTCGTGGGTGAAACAGAGTATCGATATGCATGGTAGCCTGTAAATTCGTGTTAAGAGATGGAGTTTGTGTGGTTTTGATGTTAATGCTGTGGTCTGGTTTCACAGTCTGTTTAGCTGCTGTCTTCGCTGCCACATCTGCCCTAGAGCTGGCTGGGGATAGGGAGTCTTTTGAGTAAGTGTGAGTTTCACATGTACAAACAACTATAATCTTGGGGAACAATAGGGCATCCAGCAATGCAGCTACAAGCTCAGTATGTGCAATCCACTCCCTGGGGACTGTTATACGCTGTCACTGTTTCCATAAAGTGCTGAAATCATGCACCACCCCAAATGCATGGCTTTAATCGATAGAAATGGTGACTCCTTGACCCTTAGCGATTTCACACGCTCATGTTAGTCCCACGAGTTCAGCAGCTTGATCTGAAGAGTGAGACGGTCCTGTGCCTGATGCTAAGATATCATGTTCTGTGACCACTGCTTGTCAGGTTAGTTTTAGAAACAACTTCTCTGTAATTGTGTGGTTTGCCATCTGCATCTGTGGTGAGAAGTGAAGCTGAGTTTAATACAGGGCCACTTTTAACCCTGACATTTGGGATTTCCAGTAAGATAGTGTGTATATTGCTGTTGGTTACCTTCTTGTTAAAGGTCTTAGCATTTTTGTTGTAATTTACAACAGAATTCTTTTTTTTTTACTTACCTTGACCAACAAGCAGCTGATAAATGTGTATTTTGTTTTTCTCAGTGACACAGTTAGTACTAAAAGCATTAATTCTGAGTAACCCGCATGGTCATGTCAAGTCAGTACTACCTTTTTGAGCTGTTCCATATATAGAGGAAGATCTGCTGCTAGTAATTCCAGCGAGAATGAAAAAAATGCTATTGGTCTTTGTCTTTCTCTATGCGGCTTTAGCAAAACAGAGGTCATGCATCCACCCTTTTTGTCTGCAGTTTGTTGGGATTTCATAATCGTAAAGTAATGCAGGTCTGCAGTATTAAGTCAGTGAAAGCTGTTCGTTCCTGTTCAAGGTGGCAAAGATCACAGTCTGTTTTTAAGTATTGCAGATCGGATTTATTTCCCCTCGCAACTGCTTAATCTGTGTAACCGTTAAAGGGTGGTAAGTTGGATCCTCATGGGTAATTTGGCTTATAGCAGGGTGGAGCCTGGATGACTGTGTTCTTTCTTGTGTTACAGGCCTACGCACTGCTGCTGCTGTGTTGTTGCAGCCTTGTTGTTGCTTTGCTGTAGTTTACTGACTGGCATTGACTGGTTCTTTGGAGTTGTCTTTTTTGGTTTTGTGCGTGTTGGTTCCTGTTTCTTTTCTATCTTATTTACTGAGTTTTGTTCTTTATCTCTTAATTTATAGTTTGTTTGTTTGCCACCACTTATTGTGGGGGCTAGGCATGTGTGGTGGAATTCCCTCTGATGCATGCTAGTGTACACACTGGCGAAGAGGTATAATGCATTATTTAAGTGGCATTGAGAATTGCAGAGAGTCCACGGGTGAGTAATTGGTGGCACCCTTGGGCACTTCTCCCTGTAGGTTGCCTCCCCAAGTGGCCGGTCTGCACCATTTTGTTTAATTATTTTACTGATGTGCTATTTTAACTAGGGCAGCATCGTTGCAGCGAACCTTGTTCGTTTGTTAATAAAGTGTCTTGATTGACAGTTCTGTATTGCCAGCCCTGCTACCTTAGAAGTTTCCTTTCTGCAGGACTGTATTTGCAGTTATTGTCTGAAACCTTGTTTTATGAAATTGACCTGCTTCACCTCTGCTTGTTAATAACAAGCTTGTGTGCCTTTTGTAACTGTTAAAATGTTTGCACTGGCTATTGTAATCTCTCCTGGGGTGTAACTTTCCTCCCCAGGAGAGGAATGGGCTCTTCCTCCTTCGCGCCACCACATTTGCTTGTGGTTTTTTGGGAGA